AATTCTAATTATTCTGACACAAAAAGTGCAATAAAACAACCGTGGAAGGGATTGGTATCCAAACGGAGAATGGAGACAGAATGTAAACACTGTGACTAGAGTGCATAGACAGTTGTTGTACAAAATCAATTAATTGTAATTCACAAAGAAAATTTGAGAATTCTGTCACAATTTAGTTTTCCCAACCTGAAGGAAAGGGGCTTTTGGGTCCTTTTGTATTTTATTTAAGTGAAGCAAAAATATTTAAAGTACATTTTGGTTCAAAACGAAAGTTTATCACAATATTTGATTCGTTACTTGGTACAATTAAGTAAAAATAACTAAAAACAACATTAAACAACAAATATGAGTGTTGTGTCTACTGTCACCTACACCAAAGAACCAGTGTGACAGCAACAAAAATAAAGTGGTGTTTTTTTTTTTCCTCATGAGCTGCTGAAACCAGACATGTCCTGCTGCTGTGAGGGGAAACTCTGGCTTTAAAACATTGTCATGAGTCAGTAATTGCATAAATGGAACTGCTGAATGACACTTTCAGCTCTAGAGCACACTTGGACATTGTTTTATGAAATATTTATTAAGTCTTTCATCCTGAGTGTTTTAGCTGAAAAGGCTTCACTTTAATCTGCATGATCTGCTTTCAAACGTTTCTTCGGTGTAAAGGTTTTTTTTTTTTTACCAAACATTGGACCTGACAGATGATCTGATGCTATTCATGAGTTAAGATGTAAGTTTATAGCCTGCAACTACAAGCACAAGGGCAGGAGGCAAGAAAAATAAAAATAAAAAGTTGTGTTAATAAGAAATGAGGAAACATACAGACAACAGAAGAGAAATCTGTTTCTAAAAACAGCCAACAGATGGATCAGCTGTCTGTCTGAGCCAAAATCTGTTGGTTCAGAGTCTGAATAGTTTGTACTCACCGTCCAAATACTACTTCATACTTTCCTACAGCCATCTGCACACTAGAGTATTTTTAATTCTTCTTCACATCTTTTTATAAGTTTATATTTTAAAAGAAAGAATGGGTTTTATGGCAGAGATAGTTTGGAGTTTTGCACCAAAAGAAAATACACAAATGTTTGCATGAAAATTCTTCCAAATATTCAATACATGGCTTCTGAGTATCGATATGGTATTTATATTTAAAAAAAAGATACATTGTTCATTATACCCCTAAACTATTTCTTAATTATCCAACTGTTTTGTGAGAAAAACTAAATAATGCAAGTTCAAAGTGTTTTTGTCTATTGTGATTGTTTCCTTCCTTAAAGATCAAGTCACCCCCAAATCAACATTTTTTGATAATAAACTATATAAATTTGTTTTTATAGACATGTATAGACAAGTGTTGTCAATAATTTGGCACTTTAGTAGCCTGGCAAGCCAGACTATATATGTGAATGCTTTGGGTTATTTCAGGTCAAGAACAAAAAGCAAGAATTTTTGGTCTAGTTCACTAAGCTAGCACTTTAGTGCATCTTAGTTAAAATTTAAATATTCTGCCTAAAACTGTCAGTATTGCACCCTCTTCAGGTAAAAACTCTGCACTGCATTTGGATTTAAATCTTCCATCCAAGGGCGTAGGAACGAGTTTAATATTGGGGGGACACATTTGAGAAATCTAACAAATCTGTTGTAGGTCAATATATAGGTCAACCTCACTGAAAAAAATACATTTAATGATTATTTCTGATTCTAACGTGTCACTGAGTGTTTCATGCAGGCTGAACATGAACATAGTCTCCTACCGCTATCTCCTGCATTAGCTTCTGATAGAAAATCTGATAGCCTGTGAAACTCTAGGATTAGAAAAGCCTGACAGATGTGACTCAGGGTGTAAGGCAAAGCCCAGAAAGACTAGAAAATAACTTTTATAGCCCAGTTCACTAACATTCTGTTTGTATTTTTTTGTTTTTTGTTTTTTTGATCAGGAGCCCATGAGCCAGCCAGAAGGGGAGGAGACTTAGGCTCCCCATTAGCCAGATCCAGGTGATTACCAGCCAACGTGGACGTTTTAATTGTAAAAAAGCAGTTTTTGTGTCAGCACTGTTTGATTTTTATTTAATAGTATGAATGTAGGATATATTATCTTATTCATATGGATAGAGATGTGTAAACAGATTTAATACAAGACTAAAGCTGTGAATATTCAGTCTGAATTGATCTGACTCTCATCATAATATTTTAAACTACATCAGCCAACAATGCTGACCAACAATCAGAAAAATCTGTTTGCTTCTGACAGAATGAAAAAAGAAATAATTCACTCAACAACAGCTGGAACTACATTAATTTTCAGATGGCCAAAAGAAAAAACTGTGGAAAACAATTGCAATCTAAATGCAATTCAGAGTTTAACACTTATTTTTCTAATATTTCTAAAGAAGCATGTGTCATGTTCTGTGTGCCTTTGTTCCCCAGCCCCTCCAGTTCCCACTCCAGGTTCTCCTTTTGTGTTTCATAGCGCCCTCATGTGTCCTTTGCCTGTGTCTCATTTATGTGTCTCTTTGTGTGCCTCAGTTGTCCCCTGCTCAGCCTTCCAAATATATCTCTCAGGTCCTGTGTTCCTTTAGTCTTCTCCAGTCACCCCTCTGCAGCCAGTCATCCCTCTGCAGTGTTTATAGTTTCAGCTTTTCATTTTATTAGTCTCTTTTATATGTTTTGTCCCACCAGTCTTTGTAGTTCTCATTCCCTTTAGAATATTAGTTATGTGGTTGCTTTTCTTGTTTTTAGGTTTTTTTCTTAGGTCATGTGAGTTCCCTCCCTGATTAAGTATTGCTTTCACCTGGTCCTCTCCCCACACACCTGCAGCTCCTCTGCCTCCCATCATGCCCCAGTTTATTTAAGCCCTGTCTTGTCTCAGGCCCTGTCCACACGTAGCCGGGGATGTGCCAAAACGTAGATATTTTTCTATGTTTTGGCCTGTCATCCACACGAAAACGGATCTTTTTAAAAACTCTGGCCAAAGTGAAGATCTGCGTTTTCTCCGTTTTGGGTGTCTGCGTGTGGACAGACAAAACCAGAGTTTTAAGGTCCGCAACGTCACTTTCCGCGACAAAAAAATGCTGACATCACGTGTGCGACCTGTGTTTACACTAGCCAACAGCATGGATACCCTCAGAGCTGCGCTCGCTTTATCAATTGTCCAAGCGCTTTTTGCTTGCTTGTTTTTGCCGATGACGTCAAAGTAGTTGATTGGCTGAACATGAAGCTTATGGAAGTTACTTTATCACATTATGATTTTGATTGGTCAGAACAAATTTGCAGTCGTAGTCTTTGCGGTTGTAGTCCTGTACTCCAAAAATCAACACTTTTTGGAGAAAATATGTTTGAATTTCTAAAGGAAATGTAAAATATAAGATCTTGATGTTGATGAAATGGGGCAAAATAAAATATAAGAATTTTATTGATAGACACCAAGCTATATTTTGAGTCAAAGAATGTGTTTAGATAACTACTAAGGAAATATACAGACAAGCTCCACATTAATACAAACAGATATGGCTTCACATATAAGAACTGTTCTATTTTTTGTCAGTCCGATGTTGGTTTTATGCAGTTTCACATTATTTACAAAACAAGATAATATGGTGTTTTATTAACAAATTACAATTATAAAGAAAACATTTAGGTGTTAACAAGAATTTATTAACAAACCGCTGATGTCTTTCCAAAACTTATGTGTGAAAGCCGAGTAGATTTGCAGTAATGTGACGTCCTCGGCAGTCGAAGGACCCCGAGCCGATCCTGCGCCATTTCCCGAAGAAGCAGCGGGAGCTACTCTGTTGTTACTTGTGATCATAGCTGGCAGGCAGCAAGGAGGAGGAGGCAGGGCAGGGTGGTTACAGCTAGGGATGAGCCGGATACTCATTTCAGACGAGTATCCGGTACGGATAATGCATTTTTGACGAATACGAGCATGAAACGAGTAAAACTCGTAAATATCTGTAATCGTGCTGAAGGAAAATCCTCATTGGGTAACTGACTGTCTTCACGCTCTGTGATTGGCCAGTCACATAGAGCGCCCGCCCCTCCCTACACACAAAACTCTGCAGCCGGGAGCTCAGTCCGTCCGGCCCATCCACGCACACACACACACAGACAGTAGCGGATCTCTCTGTGCTTGCTTCACTGTTGCTCACATTTCTTCAGTGCTCCCTAGGTTTTCTTCAGCTCGCCTCTTTTTCGGTTGAATATTTAAAGTTACTTTTTTCGTAACGTACGTGGTGCATTTGACAAGACAGAGCTGAAAACGGCTCGTGCATGCGTCGGTCACTGCCTCCGCTCCGGTCTGGTTTTTAAAAAAAAATAATTTTAAGTCTCTCCCTCTCTTTCTCTCACACACACACACCTCAATCAACATTGTTTTGTTTAACTGTGTGTGGGGAAAAATGCCAACAACGTTAGGAAAAAATCAGTTTAATCAAATTAAAATAAAATGGTTCTAGTATTTCATATTTCCTAGCTCCTACTGCATTAGTTCAGATGCATTAATTCATGCACTTAAATATTAACGTTCTGATTTTATTGAAAAACATGTTCTGTAATAGTTCCTTTACTAATGTGATCAAAACTATTTAATCTCAATTCTGAGGCTGCTCTGTAAATAATTTTCAAATAAACAATATACATAGCAACTTCTGATCAATCCATATCAATTTCAGATTTAAAATAATGTATTGATGTAAACCACACCCACTAATTTCCAAATAATAAATAAGAGGTGCATTCATCTGTGTATCTCCTCTGATCTGCATTAGTGATATTTTCAGCAACAGAACAATGAAGCAAATAAACAGATTCCGCGTTTATGTTAGTAATTTTATTTATTAGGTGCATCTAGGGCTGCAACTAACGATTATTTTCATAATCGATTAATCTGTCGATTATTTTTTTCGATTAATCGATTAATCGGTTTGTTATTGTTTAGCTATTTAACCTATACAAGTGATGGATGCATTTCAGTTAAGAAAAAAAAACATAAGAGAATTGTGCAGTTGACTGCAATCTATTTTATTGCACATGAACACAGTCAGCAGTATAAAATGAGCTAAACAGTGCAAAATATCAGTCCAGAATAATTTTTTAGCATTAGCTGGAAGCCTGCTCCTTCCACCATGGATAGTGGCCTCATGTCTTTTGCCAGCATGTTTAGAATAGAGTTTGTAAGTGGTATGAATTGCTGTGGGGTGAGTGTCTTGTTCCCCATGTAGTTGTCCATCGTTGCTTGTTTTTTTTCTGCATAAGAAACACAAATAGACTGAAATAAGTACACATATAAAATAAAGCAGCACACACACTACAACACTAAATCAATATATTATTTGAATTAATTAACAATATACAGTGATCATTTATTTTGAGGGTTACGTTCTACAAAATAGCCCGCAACAGGAGATATTCAGAAAAAAAGTCAAATTTTTTTTACTATTAAAAAGCTCTGAGTAAGAAGCTCATGAGGTTTTTACTTTGAGTCGGGAGTGTTTAAATTAGCTAGAGAAATGTGAAAAATGTTTATTTTGTGTAATACTGTTTAAGAAACATGATAAAAATGTGTTGTGAGGCGTTTTACAGCGTTAGATAGTAAAACAGCCTTTTAATAGTAAAAAAAATGACTTTTTCTGAATTTCTCCTGTATTTAAAAATTGAATGCGTACAACTATGCCGCGTTATATTCACCTGGACACAGCTCGTCTGTATATTTTTCACCGCGGAGTTGTCCTTTTTTGAATGAGGAACATAGTTATGGGTTTGTGCCGTTTTTCTCTTAACGAGAACATTCTTATAAACAGACGTGCTTAATTTGGCAAGCGCATGATACACAACACGGAGGAGATTCACGATTGCATCTAGTCAATCAGAAGTAGAACACCGTAGACTGACGCGGCAAACAAACATGTTTAACATCCACTATAACAAACTCAGCTAAAACACTAAGTCCAGCTTGTTTATTTTCTGTTACTTACCGGGCTGGCTCTTCCAAATGACGGCTCACTTGACCGCGGTGCTCTTCCTCTGCTGCATCAGCCCCCACATGTTTTCGTCTCAAATCTTCACTTAGGGACGTCGTGCTTCCGTGCCATGCTAGATGGTTTTTGTATATTTTGCAGGTCACCCGTCTTTACAAGGACTCTAGAGTGAAGTGCTCCCATACTCGTGAGGTTTTTGTCCGGGGTTTCTCTTCAGTTTTGTCGCTTCTATTTTTCTTCTGTATTTCCTCTTGTTCCGCCATCTCTCACAGCAAGATGAGCGTCAGTAACGTGATACGTCATGAAAACCGAGGGCTAGAGCTGAAACAACTAATCGATTTAATCGATTATAATCGATTATTAAAATAGTTAACAACTTTTTTAGTCATCGATTAGTTGTTTAATAATCATATTTTACCGCATAAAGTCTATTTTTTACCACAATCTGACATCGGTTACAAGCTGTTAAATTTGCCGCCAGTGTGTGGCAGTAATGAGCCACTGATCTACCAGTGGAGCCGTAGAAGAAGAAATGAGCCAATGGGTGCCCTCGGTTTTCATGACGTATCACGTTACTGACGCTCATCTTGCTGTGAGAAAATGGCGGAACAAGAGGAAATACGGAAGAAAAATAGAAGCGACAAAACTGAAGAGAAACCCCGGACAAAAACCTCACGAGTATGGGAGCACATTTGAGACGAAAGCATGTGGGGGCTGATGCAGCAGAGGAAGAGCACCGCGGTCAAGTGAGCCGTCATTTGGAAGAGCCAGCCCGGTAAGTAACAGAAAATAAACAAGCTGGACTTAGTGTTTTAGCTGAGTTCATTATAGTGGATGTTAAACATGTTTTTTTGCCGCGTCAGTCTGCGGTGTTCTACTTCTGATTGACTAGATGCAATCGTGAATCTCCTCCGTGTTGTGTATCATGCGCTTGCCAAATTTAGCACGTCTGTTTATAAGAATGTTCTCGTTAAGAGAAAAACGGCACAAACCCATAACTATGTTCCTCATTCAAAAAAGGACAACTCCGCGGAGAAAAATATACAGACAAGCTGTGTCCAGGTGAATATAACGCGGCATAGTTGTACACTTTCAATTTTTAAATACAGGAGAAATTCAGAAAAAGTCATTTTTTTACTATTAAAAGGCTGTTTTACTATCTAACGCTGTAAAACGCCTCACAACACATTTTTATCATGTTTCTTAAACAGTATTACACAAAATAAACATTTTTCACATTTCTCTGGCTAATTTAAACACTCCCGACTCAAAGTAAAAACCTCATGAGCTTCTTACTTAGAGCTTTTTAATAGTAAAAATGTTTTACTTTTTTTCTGAATATCTCCTGTTGCGGGCTATTTTGTAGAACGTAACCCTCAAAATAAATGATCACTGTATATTGTTAATTAATTCAAATAATATAATATTGATTTAGTGTTGTAGTGTGTGTGCTGCTTTATTTTATATGTGTACTTATTTCAGTCTATTTGTGTTTCTTATGCAGAAAAAAACAAGCAACGATGGACAACTACATGGGGAACAAGACACTCACCCCACAGCAATTCATACCACTTACAAACTCTATTCTAAACATGCTGGTAAAAGACATGAGGCCACTATCCATGGTGGAAGGAGCAGGCTTCCAGCTAATGCTAAAAATTATTCTGGACTGATATTTTGCACTGTTTAGCTCATTTTATACTGCTGACTGTGTTCATGTGCAATAAAATAGATTGCAGTCAACTGCACAATTCTCTTATGTTTTTTTGTTCTTAACTGAAATGCATCCATCACTTGTATAGGTTAAATAGCTAAATAATAACAAACCGATTAATCGATTAATCGAAAAAATAATCGACAGATTAATCGATTATGAAAATAATCGTTAGTTGCAGCCCTACCGAGGGCACTCATTGGCTCATTTCTTCTTCTACGGCTCCACTGGTAGATCAGTAGCTCATTACTGCCACACACTGGCGGCACATTTAACAGCTTGTAACCGATGTCAGATTGTGGTAAAAATAGACTTTATGCGGTAAAATATGATTATTAAACAACTAATCGATGACTAAAAAAGTTGTTAACTATTTTAATAATCGATTAAATCGATTAGTTGTTTCAGCTCTAGGTGCATCTGACCTGTTCTATTTTTCTCTGAAATGAGATCAAATCAGTGCTTCTACGGGTTTTCTCCTCTCTGCACGAGAAAATTTTACTTTATTATAATGTTCACTGTAATGCATCTTGATGTTCTTAACAAATAAATTAAATCAAAGATATTGGTCAATAATGCCAAATATGTAAATTTGTGTTTCAGTCATTTTCTTACTGACTTAAAAATACTTCATTAAGTCTACTAAGCAGGGGTGTAGAACAATTTTAATAGGGCCAGCCCAGTAATGATCTTGGACCAAAATACAGAGGGCAGAAAGTCAAATAAAGGGGGGCAGAAGGAGATGTTTTTCCAGACGCCAAGAAAAATTAAATGCCCACCCCCCACCCACAAAATGTGTCACTGAGAGTTTAAAACAAAAATTATTTTTGTGCAAATATTGGTGTATTCACATTTAATAGTAGTTATAAAAATGCAGCAGTTGCTGGATTGGTGCAGATCAAAGTGGAGTGCATCAAATAAAACAATATTAACATAAAGGTGAGACGTGTCATATTCACCACGATAGTCTGGTACAACACCTGCATCACTGCAGACGCAGCATCAATCCGCCTATCGATCTCGCGAAATGCAAAAAGCAAAAATCAGATCCTCAGGCTGCCAAAATGGTTCCTTTAAACACCTTTGCTCCATAAAAGTTATGAACAGAGTCCGTGACAAAAGGCAGCCTTGGCGGAGTCCAACTCTCACCTCTTGTATCGCCAAACATCCACAATTTCATTAGAAAAACAAAATTATTCATAAAAATCTAAAAATGTTTACTTTTACTTTTGAAGTGTTTGAATAAATATATTTTATCTAGTAAAAAACTGATTTAAATAAGAATTTCATTTACCTATCACAACTTTTAAAGCTATTCTTGAAGAGGCTTAAACTGAGAAAAAGTCGAACTAAGGAACCTTTTGTAGTTTGATTTGGCTCAAGAGCAGCGCCACAAACTGGAGGCAAAATCCTGAAATAAATCTGAACAGAAATGCCAGAACTTAAGTTTGGTGAAGGTCCAAAAATAAAAGATAAGAGCTCCATATAAGTGCCTGCAGCAGCACATTTCCACAACCATTGATAGACAGCCGAACGGGAGGTTTAGGATAGAGTTGAGGAAAATAATCAAATAATCAATGCACGGGATGCAGGCATAAATGGTTTTGCATCATAGAAGAGTACAATAATCGATTATAGAGGAATGTAGTTGTGTTATTTTAATGGCGGCACCAGCGCAGCATCCAAATTTGTCAGGGCGGTGTTCTCCAAATTTACCGGGTAGGAAACTTTGATCTGCCTTTTATGTGATACTGCAGGACTGAGCTCTAGAGTTGTAACCTGAGACCAAACCCGAATAGAATCAGCCCGACCGGTTCTGCTGGATTTGGGCCGTAAATTATGTTAATTGAGCGGGTTGTCGTGCTGCGCGCTCCACTCGCTTGATCAGCGACTGAGACAGAGAGAGCTGGAGATTGTCTGATCACACAAGAGAGAGGATCGGAGGACACTCCTCCAAACATGCATTATAATTTTCATATTTCATTATTGTTTCTCCTGGAAGTGCTCAGTCAGACCAAGTGCTGTGATGTCGGGAGGTCCGGTCTCAGGGAGGGAGCGGGGTGAGTGATGGTGGCTGCAGCATAATCATCTGTCTCTTTTATTTAGGGACACGGAGAAGTTAAAAGGAGAGAGAAATAGAAGATAGAAGTTCTTGTTCCACTTTATTCTTTTGTTTCATGATGATAAACTGATGTTAAATTCAGCTTAAAAAGAAACTGGGAGGAAGCTTTGGCTCATTTTAAGTTACAGGAGATCTTGTCTCCTGTCTGCTCCTCCAGAGACAGCATGGACATGAGGGTTACATGGTTAGGGTCACACAGGACAGGTTAGTGCAGTCACACAGCAACAATGGTGGTTGGATTCTTCACTAATAATCCAGAGCTGTGGGACAAGGCCTGCCTCAAACATTTGTAGAAATGCAAAATAAAAATTAATCACATCCTGTTAATTAAGATTTAAACATTATTTCCACTTTGAGCATTAAGACTATTTGTGTCAGTTCAAGCATTTAAAATAAAAAAATCAATATTTCTATTAACTGACTGCTTTATTATTTAAAATGAATGAAATGTCTGTTTCTAGCTTTATTTTTCGTTCACTAATTTTTTTTACCATTTCTGCATGCATTTTGACATTTAGATATGTTTTGGACAAAAAACAGCAATTTCTTGCTGGTTATTGTCACTCTACACTCAGCCAGCAGGTGGCAGTATGTGACATAACACATTAGAGGCCAGTGTCATGGCTTATGTGCAAACATACCATCATTTCTTATAACTGTCCACTGTAGTGATCCCTACATGAAAGGATTTTTAATTTGTCTTTAAAAAACTGCAAACTTTTGTTGAAAAAGAATTAAGATTTTAAATAAATGTTGCATCTAATTATCCATCCGATCACCCAACAAGCAGCAGATGCAGACCTGATCAAGCGTAATAATTATTTCTGAGATCATAACAAGTGAAGAAAGTCATTACACACTTTGTTTTTTCTCACATCAGTTTCTTGTTCTTAACTCATCCTTTCCATAACAAAAAAGGGAACTAAAAGTTAGATTAAGACAGATGAAATCAAAGTAGTTGTGAGAATTTTTTGAGCAGGTTTGAGTGTGTGTGTGTGTGTGTGTGTGTGTGTGTGTGTGTGTGTGTGTGTGTGTGTGTGTGTGTGTGTGTGTGTGTGTGTGTGTGTGTGTGTGTGTGTGTGTGTGTGTGCGTGTGTGTGTGAGTGTGTGTGTGCGTGCGTGTGTGTGTGTGTGAAAGCAAAGGGAGATGCAGAGACTAAAGGCTCGAGTCTGGGCGGTGATGGAGGGAGTACCGCAGTGCTGACCACTGCAGGACTCATCCATCCAGAACATGCTTTAGTTGGGTCAACTTTAGAGCCAGAATTACTTTGATTGAGACGAACTTCAGAAAAATCTATAAACTAAGCACAAATGGTACTCTGGGTCATCCCTGCTACTGTTCTCCTTACAATTACACCAGTTTTACTCAACAGAGCTGCTTCTTTTTATTCTATGTCAAAGAGAGTGAGGGGTGAGGGGTGTTGCGCTGCTGACAAGGAATTAAATTATTTCTAAAATGTTATAAAGATTAAAATATGCACATAATTAGTTAATCTTTTGTTCAGGCGAAATATGTTGGAATTCATTGCTGGTAGAGAGGTAAGTGATACCTGCAATGGATCTATTTGAGAAAGGGTCTGAATTAACTCAAGACTACAACTGGTGGAATAATTGTGGAATAATTGGACAAAAAAGGCTGTAGAACATATCCTTTGTGTCAATATGTTTCCTATTCTTGTGTCCTTATTAAATGAAGCTTCAAATGCAGATACTAAATGGTTTTAAATAAAATTAGAAAAGCAGACAAGCTATTTCCACTTTCAAGTTGCAGCCCAAATATCCAATCTGGTGTTGCTTCTTTAGTGAAAGAAATGTGCAGCAGAAAAATGCATCCCATTAATATTTTGGGATCAGAAAAGGCACAATTAGAAAATGCATATTTTAATCAAATTGTGTGAAACTTTATTATTTAAATTTAATAAAAGTTTTCAAATTGTTAGATTTTTTAATACAACTAATATGAGGCACGGTGATTAGTTTAGTTACAAATGAGAAATTGAAACACTGGTATTGGAACAGGGCAGAGCAAATATTTTATTTAAACGTGCTATTTTTATCTTCTTTCACTTAATGATCTGAAGCATCCGTGCCTGTGGAAGCCAGCAGCAGCTGAAAAACCCCTGTGATGTTTGACCTCTACACCCTGCTGATTTACTCAGACAATCCTACATCATAACTGTCTCCATCCACATGCGCTACCAGCCACGTTGCACCACAAAATATGAAAATCCAAAAAGAAAAAGGCACTTGCATGCTTGTCAAAACAGTCATCATATTTCATCCCTTGTAATATTACAGTTTGCACCACTGTAGAGACTAATTACAGGCATCTATAGGAGATTGATGAACTCCAGTGTTCTTGTAAAGGATTAAAATGTGTTCAGTCCACGATGGTTGCTGCAGGTGTAATACTCAAATGTTACCAACAGGGGGAGTTTCGCGCCGGTGAGCCATTGTAGCGTGTGCAAAAGGCTAAAGGTTCGTCTGTGGCTAGTTTATTAGAAATTCCCATTTTCAAGTAATATTTCCCTCTTTATATTGGTTTAAATAAATATTATGTCTGCTCACAAATAAACATGTTTCCTTGAATTATTTCAATTTAGGCACAGTAGCACCTAGCATGAAGCTTAGCTAACTGGGTCCAACGGTAACTGCAAGTGACCGTTAGATACACTTCTGTACTTTCTGTAGTTATTCTCCAATCTTTTGAGTGGCTCTAATGTTAATTTAGTGTGATTAACGTTTGAACATTGTCTCTAAATGTAGGATAAAATATTACAGAATGTTCACTGCTTGTTCTGTATTGTGATATCAAGTGTGTAATTGTGTTATTAGCTGTGTGTGCAAAAAAGATTTTTTAAATTAACACATTAGCAGAGGAAAGTTTCTGTGGCTCATTAATTGGATATTTGCCTTTTCAAGGCTTATAAATGCCCTCCTGCTGTTCGTCTTAACAGTGAATCACATCCGTGCTGCAACAGCTGAAGTCTCATCAGATGAGGCAAACCCGTCATCATTAGAAGCTCGACTGGCCGTGAAAATTATCCTAGATCCTGTTTTACCCTCCTGCGCGCGAAGAGGTGAAACCCATCTTTACTTGGAGACCCATATAAACATTAAAAGCAGATTCCTACCTCGCTCATGGTGATAAGTCAGCGGGTTGTCTGTCTGTTTCTAGCGATAAGTTTCAGCCTCGGCGCTCTTCCTGAGAGTGGGCTCGGCGCGCGCAGCGGCGCTTTTATAAAGTGCGGGGCCGACTCCCCCGTCTCATGACGTCACAAATAAACCAATAGGAACGCCGTGGGCGCATGTGTCTCCCCAGTCACCACCTCACTCCTTCAAGCAGCCAAGCGTTGCTGTGTAAGCCCTTTTTATGACGATCAGCCGAAAGGGAGCGGCTCTCTGCCGCTGCTGATGAACGTACACGCGCCAATCGCCCTCATGTCATCATTTGAAACTGTACTATTGTTGTTCACCAGGCGCGTGCAGTCAAGCGCGTAGGTGTTTGTGAGCTTCATAACACAAACTGGAGCTGCAAAGATTTCCTCTTCCCTTAAAAAAAAAAACCTTCATAACACTTTCTAAACCCATGTTTATAGGAAGACTGTGTTACATATAGTAGCCTAGTGTTTCTTCACATGCACAAGATTGTGTTTTTTTCTTATAAAGGTTCATTAATACCCTAATTAGATTTTCAGTGGTGCATTTCAAAACTAAAGCATTTTCTGCATCAGTGAGGTTGAGCTTTGAGTTCATGAATTTTTCCCTAAATGAACCGTTTCTTTGAAACAGTCCTGCCCCATCCTTTCCCTTTTACACACTTTTAATATCAGTCACCAGTGGCATCCATAAAATCAAAAGAACAAGTATTTTCAATAGAAGGCTCATAATTAAACTGAATCAGTAAAAAGTAAAAAATGATGAGTATGTATTTAACCAGATTTTTTTATGAAGGAAGAAATCCAACAAATGTTCTCACATCCATTTATTTCCTACACTGTAAAACCTGCCAAGTAAGTTCAACTCAAATCATTTGAGGAAACCGATTGCCTTGTGTCATTTAAGTTCAAGAACTTTAATTGTTAACATTTAGAAAATTAGCTAATTTGAGTAACTGTAATTAAATATACTGGACCATTTAGAAAATTAACTAATTTGAGTAACAGTAATTAAATATACTGAGTTATTATATGGGTCTCATCCCGGTCAGACATGCCTGGTAAACCTCACCAGGGAGGCATCCAGGAGGCATCCAGACCAGATGCCCGAGCCACCTCAACTAGCTCCTCTCAATGTGGAGAAGCAGCAAATCTACTCCGAGCCCCTCCCAGATGACGGAGCTTCTCACCCTATCTCTAAGGGTGAGGCCAGGCACTAGGGCTGAACGATTTTAGGAAAAGATTGAATTGTGATTTTTCTATCAGAAATTGCAATTTAAGTTCAATTCACGATTTTCTGCAAACTAAGGTACAACACTAGCCTGTCAAGCCATCCTGTAGATTAAGTGAAAAGATAGTCTAGATTCTAATCTAGTACAACAAATCATTCACATTTATATTGTAGGGTTAATTACTAGGATCAACACTGTTGCTATTCAGTTGGAGATTCTGAGAATGACCAAACAGATTAACCTATGAGGCTTAAATCATATATAAATATCCCAGATACTTATATAATCGATCTAAGTTCATAGCCCAACCTGTTTGGTTTATTTTTAATCCAAAGATTAATGTTTAGTTTAAGGTAATTAAATTTTATAGCAAAAGTTTACTTTTGAATCAGAAGCTAGGAATCTTTGCTTTTTCAATAACCAGAAATAATTATACCTTTCTGTTTTTCGTTTCAATAATGAGGCAAGTTTTAAAATATGAACTAGTCATTAGTCGACTTCACCGCTCTATAGTGACTTTTTTTTGCCTGTCATCGACTAGTCGCTGTCACGTGATAATGACCGGCAAGATGCAGTCCTCGGAAAAGACAGCAGCCTGCTGTCAGCAGGTGATAAGCTCCTGCGCGTCGGGAGGGAACGCGATGTGCCAGAGCGTCGGTACTGACACCCACCGTAAAACGGACATTTAACCAAATTGTGACGTTTACCCTCTTGCAATTTAACCTTCCCCTCGCCCCCATCCTAACCGTGATGTTATAATATTTACTATTTAATCATACAATAAAAACAGTTAAAGCTGTTAATATTTTCTCCCATAATTATTATTATTTTAAATTGTATGTGCTTGTGAAGCAACTTGTGATTTTTATTTAGAGAGGTGCTTTATAAAAACATGTTCTTGTTCTACTCTAAAAATGCAAGGGGGAAATCTGAAGGTAGAAACAGCTTTCAAATGCATTAAATAACAAATAATGCACACAGTTTTCCCTGCATCACCAAGGCAGTCTGGCTGCACGTTTTTACTCACTAAACTGCTATAAAGCCTAGCTTATGCTGCGGTCAGCTCCGTGAGAGAGATGCACAGGCATTGAAAGAGACACGCTGACACATTAGCCTGTTTGAATTAACGTGTTCCTTTAGAAAAATTCAAATCATTTTTAAAGGAGACATAACATGCTTTTAGGTTATTCCTTTTTACATCTAAGTCATTCAGTTGGGGTCTAAATACAGTGGAACTGCAGTTCTTTGGTCTGATTTCCTCATTATTGTTGCTCTACTGACCCCTTATCTACCCCTGTTCTGAGGAGAGTCCGAGAATGAGCCGTTTTTGGGTACTGTCTCTTTAAATCTGGAGAAGGAGCTGCAAACTCCACCCCCTTCCACAATGCAGACCAGAGCTGTAGAAAGAGAGAGGGTGTGTCCGTAGCAAGCATCCTTCCCGTGGCTTCGGACCATCAACATAAATATACTGTACATCTCCTTTCCATAGCCTCCAATATCAGATTTTTGAGGCCAAATGGGAGGTGGCCACCACCGCCATTTTGACCGTGTCACAGGTTCTGTCAAGCCCAGACAATTCCAAAAAAGGGAAGAGAGGAGGAGCTGAGGGTGAGGCTGTAAGGCTGGGATCAACTGACGATACCCGGTTGAACTAGCTACAAGCTAACCCTGGCTAACCCAAAGCTAACGCGGAGGTGGGAGCTAAGCTAACGGATGTAGCTACCTAGCTTCAACTGGAGCCAACTCTGTGGAACACCCATCGACCTGAAGCTCAACCGAAGTTTAGGTGGAGGTTTGTGGCGCTTTTTCGTGAAGAGTACCTTTCTGTGACTAAAAAAGTATTAAATAGGTAAGTTTATAATTGATTTCCAAAATGAAAATATATTTTGCTTTGAGCAAGTTTTCAATATTTTTAACGTACCGTATTTTCCGGATTATAAGTTGCTCCGGAGTCACACCAGCCATAAAATGTATAACGAAGAAGAAAAAAAACATATATAAGTTGTATTTTGGGGGAACATTTTATTATTTTTCTTACAAAATCTGAGACCAAGCGTTTCACATTGCAAGACAAGTACCGGTAACAATAACAGAATAAACAACGTGGGCACAGCAGCGTGCCATGGTCTCCAGCAGAGGATGGCGGTGTTTGAAACCCTTCCAGCGGGACAGGGGAACTCATTCTTGGGTCGGAGTCGGCTCACAGCAGCGTGGTGTAGCCTACATATTTTGTTATATAAGTCGCTCCGGAGTATAATTAGCAGGATCGGCCAGACTATGAAAAAAAGTGCGATTTATAGTCCGGAAAATACGGTAGTTATTAGTATCTGAGATAAATTAGCAGGCTAAATACATTTCATATATTTCCAAAACGTAATACTTGTTTGTATCTTGTACAGCTAAGTAGCCTTTATTCTGGACTCAGTACAATTCACCAAAAGTAAAGAGACATTAAACAGATGAAGTAAGCACAAGATAACTTACTTGAAGAAACAGAATTATTATCATGAGAACCAGAACAAGAGAGCCTGATAACAGTCATGTGAAAATAACAGTTAAAAAGTATGTATGTGTAACAGAAATGAAAATATATTAGAATTAGTGTAACTCACTGTGATCCAAACAATAAATCAGCCATAGCTGATTAGCAATCATGAAATGAGGTCTGGGAGTTTTTAAGTTTCATTCTTTTATTACATTTTTTTCTGAGATCTGTTAAAAGGTCACCATGCCATCCTGTGTGTCTTCAACATCAGCTACACAACGCAGCGTGTAAGTTCCAAATACTTGTCTTGACCACTTCATCACTTCATGTAGGGTTTTGTACTTTAAACAGCTAGGCCAAACCTGTTATTTTTTCCCCATAGCCATTTGGATCATTGGAGACAGCTACGTGAGGCGTGGTGCCCAGAGAGCTGCTGAGACCCTCAGAGACAACCTTGGCCTCCCTGACGTCCGTGTCTCCTGGTTCGGTTGGGGCGGACTGAGGTGGAAAGACCTTCTCCCCTTCTTTTTCCACTCCCTGCATGGAAGAGCAGCTCCTCATGTCCTCATCATCCACTGCAGTGGCAATGACATGGGGGTGGTCAGCAGTGTGAAGCTGGTCAACATGATGAAGGAGAACCTTCACCGGCTTCACCTTCTACACCCTCATATGACCATCATCATGTCTTCCATCACCCAAAGGTGTAGATGGAGGGCAGGTGTAAAACCAGCTAAAATTGAGAAGGCCAGGAGGTTCGTTAACAATGTAATGGCTACTTTTATTTCTAGTTTAAATGGTGCCATTGTGCATTCTCACATCAGACATGACAGTCCAGGGATATTTTTGTCAGACTGAGTTCATTTCACAAATAGGGGAAATTATATATTCTTAACTAATCTTGCCGATTGTCTTAAAGGCCAGCTCCAAAAGCAATGAAAGACTTCCAGGTGGGAGTCTCGCTGCTTTTGAATTTGGCCTTTAGGACAGATTTATTTTCAGGCAAACAGGATAAACATCCCTGACTGTTATAGCTAATGTGTTGATGTAATTTATCTGTAGCCATTACACTGTTGAACTGTTCTTCCTTCAAACCACAATGTTGCACTCACTCTGCAGCTCTCTGGGCCCAGTTTAACATTTTACTTTTTTTTTAATGTGTCGACACTTTGTGCCCTGTTGTTTTATAAAACGTAGTGTAAAAAATAAATGTTTTTGCTCAATTACTGGAATTTCTTTGGTTAAGACTACAAAATGAGGAATAATCATTTACAAGTTATTTGTACAACAGGCCCATGTTAAATCCCAACAGTTTCTTAGCAGCCAATAGAAATGTGTTCTTTAACTTTACTTGGTTTAATAATCTTACTAAAATAAACAGAGTGCCGTATTGCAAAACCCATTCATACTTGTTATGTAAACATTAGCTTTGTAGATATTTGTGTGCAACAAAAACCAAACTTAAATAATTT